ATTTTTGTTGCCCACCGATGGACTATTTTCAATTTTTCCACATCCTTCTTGTCGTTTGGTGAACAAAACTGGACACAGTACTCCAGATGAGGCCTCTCCAATGTCTCACCCACTATGGCCATTCTTATGTTCTTAACAGTGATATCGCTGAAACAGCCTATGCCATAATCCTGTTCATTCACTTAAGCTTAGTATCCCATAATACCTTGCATTTACTTAACTAAACATTTGGCACAAGCAGACATGAAACTTGTCAAAATGTGTAACTTGTAAAATCATATATAATAGCAGCTGAAATTTGTAACGGGGGAGCGCACCGTCAGTGTAAGGGGAATGCCACATAGCCCCACAGGCCGACTTTTTGGAGTCTGGTATCATATTGAACCTTGTTCCTGTGCCATATTAATAAACCTGCCTGACACTGGTTATTTGGGCTCTTGAGTATATTTCATAACAAAATAATGAACCAAAGTGTGGTCAAACGATACAATTTATCAACAATTCCAGACAGTTTGAATCACCACCCATAGATATCGCTGCAGAGATCCTGTGGCCCATTTTCCCTAGAAAACTTCTGATTTCTGGCACCCTGTGGGGTAGCATAACGAGAAATGGTCCCTCGGCCTCAACGACATAGCTCCTGCCTGAGGCCCTTTCCCCATAGTGCCAGGGGGCATGGGTGGAGTTTGTAGGATTATGGGGGGCGCTGCCCCCAAACTGCACACGTTGCTAGTGGGGGGGCACAATTTAAAGGTTCAGCCGCCCCTCCCCCACAGCCGCAAGGCACCCGGCACCGCCATGTACACCTGGGAAGGGGACAGCGATGAGGAGTCCTGTGCCAGCAGTTGGCCCCAGACCTCCTGCTCGTAGGGTGGTATCCGGCGATGGTCCCCGCCCAGGCCAGTGGAGCCCAGCATCTCCGGCGGGTGGCAGAGGGCAAACCGGAGCTGCTAGGGGTGGGCGAGGAGAAGGGGCCGGCCCTGAGAGGAGGTGGTTGCCAGGGACTGGGGCTGGGCAGTGACACTCTCTTTCCATCTGGACAATGCCGTGGTCTGGACCAACATAGGTAACAGCCGGGCCCGGCACGAGTGTGTCCCTCTGCCCAGCACTGGTGGCCCCTGCGTCCTTCCCTCATTCCCAGGTGGGGGGTGCCTGTGAGATGCACCACGGTTACTGGGGAGTGTCTGCGGCAGGGCTGCCAGGTGATGACAGGATTGTTGCCGGGTGTCTGGTTTTTGACCAGAATGTCTGGTCGAAAAGGGAAACTGTCAGTATTCGGTTAGGGGGCAGGGCCTCAGAGGAAGAGGAGTGGGGCAGTCCCGGTCCTGCCCCGAGCTCCTGGAGTCTGGGTGGTTTCCAGCCATGGTTACAAGGCCCCCACCCTGTTTGTGGACAC